GAAATTATCAAGTTGGAAGGTATTCAAGTAATTGTACAAATCACACCTAACCAGCCATCCCGCATGGCTTTTCTCCCATTGGAACTGATTTGATATTGCTGCATGACACAGTATACGAGCTTCTGTTCTAGTGCCAAATAATTTGTAAAGTAGCTATGCCTAGAGCAGGAAATACCATATTTCTGTAACCATTTTACAAACAAGTTTTCTATTACTTTTTCATATGTCTAAATCTTTGTCACATTTGTATTATTTTTATACTATAGAATTATCTTCAGTCATATTTTATAACTTCAGTTCTTCACTGTTATTCCTATCATCACCTTGACTTTCTTTTTTGTGTGTGGGGGGGGAGGAATTGAAAACTATTTTCCCCATAATGAATACTAACCTTCCACCCTCTGCTTCTACAGTGACATCACTGCAGAATCTGTACACATATACTGCTGTTTTGTGTGTCTCTAAAAATCACACAGTTAGAAAAGTGAAATCAGGAGACACATATATCATCTTAAAGGAAACACATAAAAATATCAACAAATGAGCTGCAGTTTCTTTAGCTCTCTGTTCAGTACTTTCTTCTTCAGCTATCCTCTGCGATTTTACTCGAGATGTCTGCTGACACATAGAAAAGTGGAAACAGGAAAACAAAGTTTTCAGCTTGAGGATAACACTATCAAATATTTGTCCTTCTGCCTTCTCAAAAACAGGACCAACCCGCATTACAGAAAAGCAACTCAATAGCCTTACTGAAGTTATGTAAGGCTGATCCACGAAGTAACTGCGGAGATAAATATACCATAGCAAACAGGAAAAAGACAAAGGTATCAGGGTAGTTTCTGTACCAGTGATCACATCTAGTAGGTTACATTTTAATCACACTGAGATTTGCTGCACATGAATTGTGTCACCTGCTCAGGTTTCCATGCTTGAAAGAGCAGGCTTCAGAATCTTCATTAAAACTATTCAAATTACAAGCTGACCTAATGAGCCTGTTTACACGTGTAGCCCCCATTCTTTTCAGAATTATTAAAAGAAGCTGCCAGGAGGACATAGCATATGGGGAAAAAAAAAAAAAAAAGGCTTCCTCTAATTGTCTCTCTCTAGCACTGCTGTTCATCATCCTGTTTGTCTGCCCTTCTGTAGCTACATGTTTGTCCAACAGCTTTTCATTGCAGCAGCCTGCACTGGGAAAAACAACACATTTTAATATTCAGGCCAGGCTACACCTTCCATTATAACTACTCTTCCATCACAGCTGCAGACACATGTATAAAGGAATATTTTGGCCCTCTACCAAAGGGACCAAGTTTAGCACTTCAGCACATTGAAATGTAAGATATTTGTAACCAGTAACTGCTACCTGATAGCAAAGAACAAATCTTGCAGAGAAGTCTATGTGCTTTATTAAATTGCTGCCTGATAGTCTTTCATCTCAAGCCCACTAAATGTCACAGAAGTTATTTTCCCTTGCTTAATCCTATAATAAAAAGATCCTCTTCTACACAATGCTTTGCTCAGATCAGTATTCTTCACTACATATGGGTGGCATGACAAGCTAGGAGTCATGCAAGATACTGCTTTCTTGTCTAAACCAGCCTCTCGATTTCTATTTCATCCAGCAGCTGAAGTATACTCACTTAAAAAAACAACTAAACGTACAAACTGTATATCAACAGTGTAACGCAACCAGAACTACGATCTTAAGACAAACACCAGCTGAGCACACACTTGTGAAATGTACACAGTTTGCAGTGTGAACCTATAGTAACAAACTCACAAAAATAATTTATATATACATATTTATATATATTATATATACATATATATATATACTTAACAGGCTTATTGATATTCATGGATGTTATTGTGTTGATGTTTCACAAGTTACACAAAGCTACAATAAAAATAGGTTTAGCCATATGTTTCCTTCTGATTAAGGCATTATCTCTCCGTGTTGACTGCCTGTGTAGTTGGGTAAGGAGTTAAAGTGTTTTCTCCCGGAATCCTGTCATCTTTTCCCCTGCCTGTTTGGAACCAAATAGTTTTACTTTCCCCAGGCTTCGAAAAAACACCATCCCAGCTCCACAGGCTGGGCTGGAAAGGAAAAACAGAAAACATGAAAAGAAAAATATACTTTCATCCATCTTCAAGGAAACACTGTCGCCTTGTAGTCTGCAGGAAAACGCTGAGTCAAAACATCCAGCTTTGCACTGCTTAAGTACTGTTCCTCAGCTATTTACCCAGCTCACCAAACAACAGTGCAGAGTACTTACAATTATACATGCTAATAACAGATGCTATTAAGCTCACTATTCCTAGCCACAAGCCACAGCTTGTCACACACCTGACAAAGCTTCTTCCTAAGTTCATCAACTCCTGAGAGTCACTGCTACTGGCCTGAGGGCATTTTTGGCCAGGGACCAAAAAACCAACATGCTCCTCCTACCAGCAAAAACATTCAGGCTCCTATTCCAGGCCAGAAGTTCAAGACATGCTAGGACTCCCTGGTCTATTTCAGACATGACATGGATGTTAAGCTTCCACATATAAGAGAGAGAGAAAAAAATAATAATCACAGAGCAACAACAAACTGCACGCCCCTTCTAGAATAGCTTCATCAGCTCATAATAAAAATGGGTAATTCATCTTTACCGCTTGGAAGATATGATTTTTCCTTCCTTTACTTTCTAGATTCCTGTGATTCATTTTCTTACCCACAGGCACAACACCATACTGTAATTCACAACATTTTTAATCACAAAGGAAGCTTTTACTTTTGCTCCCAAACCATAGCCATCAGAGTCTGTACCCACAGGCTCCAGTACAGGCAATAAGCTTTTCCTAATTTGTCATTGCTAGCATTGTTTTTTTGCTTTTTTTTTTTTTTTATTTCAGTTCCCAATGTCGTCTTCACCAAGAGAATTAACAAGCCCTACTTAGATTAACAAAGCCTGAAGAATACTGAGAACATATATAATATTTTAATAAGGAGGCAACAGTATCACTCTTCTAAAAAACTCCAAGTATTAGGAGGAATAACAAAGATGAAATAACAATTGTCCCAATTTCATTCTATCCAAATTTCAATATAAAGCCTACAAAACCTTCCTTCGTCTTCACTAACATCAAAGCTACCTTTTATAGCATTGTTGGTAACTGAAAGGAAAACTGGCACTTTCTTTCATAATCAAGTGGATTGATTTTTCTGTATCATTTCCAGTTGCTTGAAGTTTTCTAGTAGAAATAAGAGTAAATTCTTGCAGAAAGAAAATAATAAAAGTAACCGTCCTATAGTTACCCAAGAAATAACTCTGTGATGATACATTGATTTCATACATTTGAATGTGTTTGATGTGAGGACTGAAAGCTAAAGTGAAAGGGAAGGACATGATTTTAACAAAAGATGAATATTACAACAGAATGAGGAGTGGAAATGAATAACTGTTCTGCTTCAGTTTCTTTTCCCTTCTAAGGATTTGTATAGAAGCATAACATTTAATAAACTTTCTTGTAGTTCTCTCTAAATATTCCTTTTTTTTCTCTGGCTGGTGTGCTAAAGCATTTCTGTGGTGCATAAAAAGACTTCTAATAGCTGTGTGACAAAATCTTCAGTGCTAAAATTTTAGCTACCTTGTTTGTGGTTCTGATTGGTGGTAGAAAACATATTATGAGAAAACTTTATTTATTGGAGATTGGGTATACACAGAATGCAGATTTTGGTACTGAGGAAATAAATAACGATTTAAGCATCCAGCATGGAGGAAAGATATTTTGATGTGGACTGAGTGAAAACAAAGTTTTGGTTTGGGCTCTGCTTATGTTCTGCAAAAGAATATGCCTGAGGGAATGCCTGGAGGACCCAGAGTGATGGAGAGCCACCGTTCTAGTTATAGTCATAAAACTGTGATTTATTATCATATGGTCTTTGTGCCACTCATGAGATGCAATGCAGTTTAGCATAAGTTAACCTCTGTGTACAATGGAATGAATGCTAGCGGTATGCCAAGTGAGTGTTTTCCCTTTGTTCAGGGTAGCACAAAGTAATATCTTCTTAGAATTAATGTCTCCTGTCCCTGAAAGATCTCCAAAACAGAGAATCCTACATTGATAATTCTGACTTTAACATATAACCACAAATTTCTGCACCCATGTAAAGCCAGCAGAGAAGCTTGGGATTTTTCCAAAATACTGCTGCCACCTAGTTGAGATCTGAAAGAAGGGCTCCTGTGTGCAACACAGTGCCCATTCGTTGTAGCTCTGTCCACAGATTTGAAGTTACAACTTCTCCTAGGAACATTTTTCCTCTTTTATGTATTTGGCCAAGGGCACCACAACAGAATTACGAAACAAAGGTAATAAACATAACAAGGCCAACACTTTCTGCTATTTCCATGTCTAACCTTGACACGATTCATGTGGCATTTTCTAGAAGAATAAAATCTTTAAAGACACAGCACACCAAAAATCTTGTGAAATATGAGTAAAGATTTTCTACTTAATAGAGAAGATCTGAGGCACAGTATATGATTTGCTGATGTGGATCTGAAAATCATCAGAACTTGAGGTGCTTCCAGTTTGAATTTCAGCTTTCGAATCACCTTATGGCTCTTTTTATGGCCTTTGTATATATATATATATATATATATATATATATATAATATAAAGTATATTTCAGTGAAATATACATAAATATAAGGCTCTCAGTTTTGAGGGTGGAGATGCTTATTATTTGTCTCTGTTAGTGCAATCATAGACCATAGTTATGTTAAGGTATGACTATGTGGGGGAATGCTATGAACAGGTTTTAACTACATTTATGCTCATTCAACTAAAAAGAAAATTTATAATAAGCGTTAACACATTCTGGGCTCACTACATAAAATACACAGTATGTGTCTTATGTCAATACTTTATATTCAGTAATGTTTATTCAATTTATTTCCCATATTTGGGAATTTATACATATTATTCTTCTGTTTTTCCTTATTTTCCTGCAGATTTCTCTGCATACACTATCCACAAACCTCAGCTAAGAAGCAGTCTTTCAGGTAGGTCATTACCTCAAGACTGGGAACTTCAGCTTGTATCACTGAACCTGGGAAGCAATACTGATAGCAGACGACAGCTCTGCTGCAGCAGGGGAAATACACAGAAGCGTTCTGTCACAGCAGCATTTTCTGGGGGCTGATGCTTTCAGGCCAGGTATATTCCCTGGCAGAGAGTGGTGAAAGCTTCTGTAAGCTGTCATGGATCTCCAGCAAAGCCTCACTTGCACATGGTGCTATGTATGAATTTCGTCACCCAGTATGAGCCTAAATTCTGCTAACACGGCTCGGTGTTTCTTTCACAGTAGAACTGTTAGAGATGCAATGTGAGATTAATGGTGGGAAGCCAGCATATATCAGCCAGTCCTGCAGAGTACAGAATTACATTGTCCCAGGGCCTGTGGGCTTACGTACAGTCATACATGTGGAATGAGAAGCTGTAGCTTCACATAAACAGCAATTTGATCAAGAAGTCACATCTGCAAGAGATCACAATATGCTTAATGAGTGCTAATCCCTCTGCAACAGGCACAAAGGGGGCAGTATAAGGGTTGTCGCTTCGGTTGCTCCAGAAAGCAAAGTTATTTACGAGGTTACAGGCAGGAAGACTGGTTCTGCTGGCTACATCAGCAGTGTAATGTTGCATTGGAATACTTGCAGATTTCATTTGCTGTTCTCAAGTTCAATTTTCCTCAATGTTTTTGCATGGGCAGTTGTGATTTTTCAATTGTTAATGCCTAATCTTGGCTCTTCCTCAAACCATTCTTTGTTTTTATATTTCTGACATTTTATTTCTATAACCAATGTGGTTGTCATTCTCATGTATAAATTGCACAGTGATGCCAGCATTACCTACTCGACTTTCTGTCACACACAGCAGTCTCCCATATTACAATTTATTTGTTCTGACCAACTTCCCAAAAGCTAACTGCTGACATGAGAGAACAGTCCTTGATTGTCTCGTTGTAACAGAGATTTCTTTCATCCTCTGCCATTGCTCCCTTTGATGTTATTCCATTCTTTCTGTTTGCAAAGTTTGCCTTGGAGTTGTATTTCACCTACTGATCATAACGCATTTAGGTTTGCAATGGGTAATTGAATTCTAACTTAAAACTGCTGATGTAGTATTTTTATTCTGCCCACAGTGAGAGGAGCTCTACATAAAAGTTGTTCTGACATCTTGACGTTGCAGTGCAGACAACTCTATGTAGTGCTGTGTTATTACTTCATTACAGCAGCTTCACACTAATTCGTTATTTCTAAACATGTGTACATCTAGCTTAGCAAATAGCCATACATTTATTTTCATAGTCAGAATCTCATTTTAAGATCCCAGCTTGCTACTCTTTGGAAACTTCAGGTTGACTTATGTTTTATTTACTATCAGTGCCCACAGCAGCACATGACAATCCCAGGCACAAGATGGAGAGGTACGCACTGCCACAGGCACCCACAGATTGCAAACATGAGCCTGCAGGTTTTGGCAGCTCTCCTAGAGCCAAAAATTCCCTGATATAGTAGTCTGAATATGCTAGACTAAATAGTGAACAATTCGTAACTTAGAATCATAGAATTGCTTGGGTTGGAAGGGACCTCAAAGATCATCCAGTTCCAACCTCTTTCTGTGGATAGGAACTTGAACTGAGGATTAGACATACAATTAGAGTAGCTGAGGTTGCAACCCAAAGCAATCCAGTCCTGAATTCCTGAGAGATAAAACCGAAAATAAAAGCAGAAATGTTTTTAACATACAGATATTCAGGGAGGTTTCTTTAAACAAAAGAGAGGTAGCAAAAAGCAGAAGGGGGGCCTCATGGGCTGTGGGACGCCATGTTCAGTGATAGAAAGAATTGCTATTTTTGAAGTAATGGGAAAATGACAAATTTCTGGAAATTTAAGGCAAGCATTTGAGGGATAATTTGTCACTTAAGACACAAGCTCTTCAAAACAAATTACTATAAATTGCAAGACTGCTTTTCATCTTTTAGGAGATCCAATAGTTGTCAAAGCAACTTGGAGCGAATACAAGTCTAACAATTAGGCATCTTATCTCAGTTCTTATTTTATTTTTTAGGTTTCACACCATGCTGCCCTGAATACCCCTTGGTACCACATCACCTTTGAATGTGAAGGAGAGTTCCAACTTCTCATCCTTCATCATCAGGTAAAACAGACGCTTGAACGTGTGTGAAAATATTAAACCATAGTAGTGGTTTTTCACAATTAAGCTTTTTTTTCTTTTTGTGCTGAAGAGATAAGGATTCTGCTTCATTCCTCATGCAGAGCAGCAAGTTCCCACCAATGGGCTCCTTTCAAATTATATTGGCAATAACCTAAAAACCTTTGAAGACAAAAAAAATTAAATAAAAGAAATAATTTTACTGGGAAGCCTATGGTTTCCACATTGTTGCAAATACGAGGAATGCCAGGAAAAAAAAATAATAACAAAAAACAATGAAAAAAACCAACCTTTTTGCTTGCTTCATCTGGATTTTCTCAAGAAAAACACTGAATAATTATATTGTATAACAATCTTGCTGCAAAACTGTATTTAAATATCATTATTAGTAATTGCATATTACAACCATTGAGCTGTTGCAATTTTTAAGAGCAATAAAAATGAGAAAATGAAGAAAGGCAAACACTTTGCAGTGTGATTAACTTCACTTGAGGAAAAAATAAATAAATGTCTAGGATTCTTGAAAAAGGCTTCTTGCAAAACTGCAAGCTGCTTCAGCAAGAATACATATTTTGTCAGACCTTCAATCTGCACTATTACTTAACATCCAGAAGCACACATGAGAACAAGAACATGCACGCTGCTAAGTGTAATGCTTATGTCTACCCATGAATGTATGCTTTATTGATTGTTCTGGTTTATCTTATATTTAAATGCGCATGCTTTTCCCCTTTAAATGAAACTATACATAATTCTGTCACACTGGACTATCACATAATGCCTTAGAGGAAGAACCTGACTATATCCATCTTTTTTCTGGAAGTGGGGAAAATGAAATATGAGCCATATTGCCTTATTTGCCACAGATGCATTTCTGATAGCTGGAGTGGTTCAACAGAAAGAGAATTTTTTTCTAGTAGAACTAATGTAAAAGAATGAAATGTGAATATATTTAAGAAATACAGTTCATGTACACAGTGACAGTAAAATGCATTATGATTTCTTAGAATCATAGAATGGTTTGGGTTGTAAGGAATCTTTAAAGATCATCTACCCCAACTCCCCTGAGTAACATTAGTGAAGAAACACCAGAAAAAAATTGCATACAAGGAAAGTAAACTCTTTTTTGTATACATTTTTTCTGTGTTCCTCCAGGATGGCATTGAGGATTTGGTGCAGAGAAAATCATCAGGATTGTCACATCCCATTTCACCTTCCACTAATGATGGAAGTGGTGCAAAATGCTGACATTTCAGAGGCTGATTTTTCAGCCTTCTTTGCAGTATCTGGACAAGCTGATTGCTTTTAAAAATGCCATCAAGAGATGACTGCTTATTATCCTGAGACTTTGATTGTTAACCTAAGTCTGAACTTCAGAATTCCTCTCATAGACCTGTGTTCTCTCTGCAACGAGGAAGCAAAGGCTTTAGTATCTTTTCCACTGAGCAGCAGTGCAGGAGGAGTCAAACTTCAGCAGCCCTAAAGCAGTTTATTTTTGTTACATCCAATTCTGATTGAATATCCACTGTTTTTGATACAGCACGTTGTATCTCATTTAGCTTTCAAAGCAATAATTCCACATAGCCACAGGCTTACCAGCATCACTCTGAGAATGCCTTGAACTCATGATGGTTATTATATGCAAAGATATTTAATGATTAAATTATTACACAAATTGCAGTGATGCTGGAAGCCAGATCTCATTAGTATGAATGCAGAACAAAGACAAGACGGATGCTGCACAGCCACGATTGAGATTCTCTACATATTTCTGTATCACTACTGTGATACATAACATATATGAACACATGGATATTCACAAATACTCTGCAACTTAATGGAGCTTTAAAGGCTAACAGCAACACAGCTGCTTCAGCACAGCTGGGCAGCCCAAGAAAGTTTTCCATGGAAAATGGGTGGTGGATGACTGCAGAGTGGAAAATAGGTAATGAAAGCAGCAAAGAAAACATTCTGTTAAACAGTCAATGATGCACTTCCCCAATTAATGATAGGAAGTGACAGCAGCTGCTGAAATTATAAAACAAGAGTTTTAAGGGAGGAGTTAATACATTAAAAGAGTGGAATCTGATAGAGCAGACCCACGAGTAACACAGAGAAAGTGCATAGGGAACAGTATGTTTGCTGTTCTTTCTAATGAAGATAGCAAGTAGCATGTTGAGCAAAAAGTAGGTGGCTCTTTACAGAATACAGTTAACTGTGAAATTCCTTAAGCAGAATGCTGTGGGTGCCATAAAGTGTGCACGGATTCAAACAACTGAATAAGATAATGAAAGAAAATGCAAGGTTCTTCAACACAAAGAATGCACACTTGGCTCAGGGAGTCCCCTCTGTTGATAGCCCCTGCTAGCAACTGTCAGAAACAGGACACTGGATTCACAGAATCATAGCTTAGGTTGGAAAGAACTTCAATCCCTTCCAGTTCCAACCCCCTGCTGTAGGCCACCCACCAGACCAAGCTGCCAGGGCTCCATCCAATCTAGCCTTTAACACCTCTGGAGTGGGCTATCCATAACCTCTCTAGGCAGCATAGATTGTCTCATCCTTATTGTAGAGTCATAGTCCTGGTGGTACTGATTATTTCCAGGTGCTCTCAATCCTAGATTTGCTTCATGTGAATGCAAAGCAACTTTACCCACAGTCCTGCTTTCTCCCACTACAACACTGAGCTGCTCTGAACTCTCAGCTCCACATAAGAGGAGCTATGCAAGGCTATGTTATGTAATTACAGCTGGAGTTATCTAGGTTTCTTAAATTTTTTTTTTTTTTTTTTTAAACATAGTTTCTACTAAAACTATAGTATTTAATTTTTAGACAGCTGGATAGGCTGGCTTCTATAAACCATTATGACTTTTTTTCATTTCAGATATGAAGGATGGGTGAGAGTTCACCTGCTCCAGAAAGCACTGCCTTTCTCCTTAATAACTAAACGTGCTGCCAGACATCTGTGGTGCAGCGCTGCCTGGAGTGCAGGCCGAGCCGAGGAACAGCGCAAACACCCTCATCTCCATTCTCCAGGCGTCGGGGGACATGCTAAAGCACCTGCGCGCCGACCTGCTTCGGCGAACGCACCAGCCGCGCACCAGCAGGGCGGGATGATGCAGAAGACGACCTCACTCGTGGAGTGCGGAGCAGCAGGTGGGAACGGGGAGGGGGGAAGAGCTGCAGCAGCGCTGCCCGTAGGAGCAGCAAGGCACGGAGGGGGATGTAGTCCGTGGGGCTGCCTACACTACCCAAGGTGCCCGCCGCGTCGGGGCCGTTCAGGGGGTGCGGGCACCTGGCTGCGGGGCGGAGCCGAGCCGCCTGCCCCGCTGCGGGCGGGGATGGGCCCGGTACCGCCCGCGGGGGCGCGGTGACGGCGGAGCGGAGCAGAACAGAACGGAACGGGGTGGCGGGTGCGGCCCCTTTGCACGCCATGAGCACCGGCACAGGTAGGCGGCGAGCCACCCGCTAACACTGCCCGGGGCTGGGGAAGGCGCTGGGATCTGTCGCGGTGCGGGGAGAGCGAGCTGAGGGTTGTCTATTTGGAAGATAAGAAAAATAAATGGGATGTCTGCGTATCTCCGAGGGGAGCTGTCGCAGCGCAGGGGAAGCTGCGGATGTCGGGAGAGAGCGTGCCGAGCCGGGTGCTCCTTTGGGGCCGCCCTCGCTCCGGGCACCGCCCGCAGCCCCACTGCGAGCCTCCCGGGTGGGCTCGGCAGCCGCTGCCTCCGGCGATGTGTGCGGCGTGTGGAACTGGGTCCAGCCCCTGCCCCTCCCGCACAGCCGGGGCTATTTGGGTGGGGGTATTTGGGGTGAGAGTTCGGCCTCTGCTCCTGGCCGAGCGTGGTGGCAGCGGAGGGGAAAATCACGGAGATTTCATCGGAACCTCGGGTAGGATTTCCACGCAGGAGAATCTAGTTGCTTAGGGCGATGTGAAAGTAATTCATGCCATGACACAAGCAGTATTTGAGAACTGGCTCGGAATTGTGTTTTCCAGCGATTCAGCGTTTGTCTGCATCGGGTGGCACAGGGGGTGGTTGCTTCAGAGCACAGCTGATCACCAAATATTACAGTCTTTAAGGCAAACACAGGCTTATGCTTAGGGAAGGGGGAGGCTTTGAGAGCTTATTGTATATTTCATTTCTGAGCATAACGGTAGTGGCTAAATATACCCTCTGCCACAACGACAAGGAGATGTGGAATAGCTGCAATTATGTACTGACTCTGTATGTCAACATGCTTAATCACACCACATCCTCGCAGCAAGCCAAATGGGAGTGCAGCACAAACAACGAGGGGCATTGCTCCCTGTTGGAGCAATGAGAGACCTGAGGTCAAACACCTGCCAGAGACCTCAGATCAAAATGTAGCTTTCCATTTCCTCTATTGGAAGCATCGGTATTGTCCTGCATTCCTGTCAGCTGCTGTCCTGTGTGGTCTGTGTTTCCAGCCCTCGGGGAAAGCCCTGGCTGGGGCAGGTGCGTAGGGGCACAGGTGGGAACAGAGCAGGAATGGAAATCCTGAGCCTTTCCTCTGACTTTAAAGGAATCTAGATGGTTAACACAGATGGTGACATCTGCATTGGAAATGATAAAAGTGGCGCACAGAGTCGTATCCGTTTACCAAGCTGTAATCTCCAGTGGAAGAATATGCAATACTGTGAAACATTTAAATACTGTAGCAGTTGAACTGAGGTTGGTAGATGGAACAGAAAATTCCAGAGTTGCATCTCAAGAATGTTTTAAACACAAATTCAATAGGTTGCAGAGTTATAAACCCAGAAGAAGAGTTAGTGAGTAAGAGTGCAGATGAGACTTGACACGGTTCTGTCTCTGTAATTGCACCAAACATGATGTAAAGAAATAGCAAAAATGAACAGTGCCAAGATAAAAATAACAGCCTGAGTATAAGAGTGGAAAAAAACCCCTGAGACTTCCTAGCTCTCATTTGAAAGTATAACTGGTAGTTTAGGAGCATTGGTTTTCA